GGTCAGTGCTGGGGCTGTAGACAGAAAGGCCTGTAAAGAGAGGAAAGAGAAGGAGATATTGTCCAGGGAAGATCTCACACACACACACACACACACACACACACACACACACACACACACACAAACAAATAATAAAAAATGTAAAAGAAATGACTATTGTTGTCTATTCATTTATTTATATGTGTGTATGATATTCATGTTTTAGATATTGTGTCTTGATCCTATGACATTTTCTGTGTGCCCTGAATTCACTATGTTTCCTTTTAAGTCTCTTTTATTTTATTAAACACTTGGACATGCTACCAGCGAGTATGTCAGATACTATACACAGAGGTGTCTGTCAGACAGACATGTTCTCTGTCCACTCTACACTCTAGAGGTAGATAGTAATTATCAGGGGCCATCTCCAAGCAGGGTAGACTTGAAGAACCACATCAGGCCAAGTGGGGTCTAGTTTCACCAGCTGTAGGCACTCAGGAAATGAGCATAACTCTAAAGTATGCTCTATCTTATCTACAGTATTTCTGCTTAATAGCAGAATAATTTGAATTTATAAAGTTCTCTCTTACAAGTCTAGTATCCAGCAGAAACTATGAGATGTAGCAAAATGCTACCCAAGACTAAACTTCAGGAAGCTTTCCTGACTCCTTCTTGTTCCCCGAAGGGTTAAGTACTGGAGGCAGCAAGGACCCAGGATGATCCCCTTTTCCTGGTTCTCACACCTTCTTGTAATTTCCCACCTGTGCCATGCCAGTGTTGGGAAATGGGAGATATGATAGATGTTTCCTATGAAGTGTGTATATGTGTGTGTGTGTGTGTGTGTGTGTGTGTGTGTGTGTGTTTCTCTTAGAATTTGGAAGAGAGTCACGTTTTGAGTAAAACTGTTGATGAAGCCCGTTTGGAGAGAAATGGACGCCCCCTATAGACAGCCACTCATAGTGAAGTATCAAATATATTTTCTATGCCTACTTTAGTTTATTCGGTTTTTGAGGTTTTATTATTTTTATGTATGGGTATTTTGCCTGAATGTATGTCTGCTCATTACATGGATGCAGTGTCCATGGAGGACAGAAGAAGGTATCAGAATTTCTAAAACTGGAATTACAGATGATTGTGAGCTGCTGTGGGAGTGCTGAGAATTGAGCACAGGTCCTCTGGAAAAGCAGCCAGTGCTCCTAACCACTAAGCCATCTCTCCAATCCCAAAGTCTAGTTTGTTAAGGCAATAGCTTGACTTATACGACAGATCATGAGCCATAACTATGCAGCCTGTTCATTCTCATATTCCTCATATTCATAAATGATGTAAGGGGTTTTTTTTATGCTGCAAAGTTGGTGGTAATCTGTTTTGCAACAATACATAAGCAACATAGTGCCTGCTCTTTGTACTTTGGGTATCCTGCTCCTCCCATAGGGCACTCACACATGGTGTAATTACCCATTTGCTTGTTTATCTCATTACACTAGGAGCTAAGGGAGATCACATTTCCAGTGCCTTTGTACCCTGACCACCTGGCACACGCCTGACTTATCCATAGCAAGTAGCCACAATATGTTGTTGGATAAATAGCTCTCACTAGTGCAGAGCATTCAGACTGAAAAAAACATTCCTGTTTCTATGCTATCATCCAGCCTCGGGCAATCCTAAGAGGTAAAGTAGTCACAGACAGCGGCACTGAGACATATTGCCTTGCTTACAGATTTCACCATTGGTAACTGATAAAATCAAGACTCAAACCCAAGTCACCCAACTCCTACTCTATGCTCCTTCTACTAATCAACTGTTCTTCACTTAGCTTGGAGAAAAACTAAGAGATCGACATTACCCAATCATGAGCAGAACTCCACAGAAGAGATAACTGGATAAGAATTGGCCCATTTATGGAGCTAGAGAGTTGAATGGTTAAGAGCACTAACTGCTCTTCCAGAAGTCCTGAGTTCAATTCCCAGCACGCTCATAGTGGCTGATAACCATCTACAACGGGGTCTTCTGCCCTCTTCTGGTTTGCAGATATACTTGTAGACAATGCATCAAATACATAGTTAAATAAATCTTGTGTGTGTGTGTGGGGGGGCAGGGGATGTGTCTCATTTGTCAGTTGGCCAGTTCTGCAGGCCTAAATCTCCAAAATGTTCAAAATCTCATTTAATGTTTATGAAAATTTTGAATAGGAGATTAATTTTTTTCTTTTGTGGATAAGAAAACCAAGACAGGATCTCATATCTATACAATAGGCTATAGACTTAAATGTATTCAAACTCTTAGTTCAAGGGTATTTTAAATTTTTCACTTATTTAATGTTTATGGGTGGGTTTTTTGTTTCCTTTTAAATAATTATTTTCTGGGATTATACTATAAGTATCTAATTTTTGCCTTCCCTGTCCTCCATTCAGACAGTCCCATGTATCTTTCCCCTCGTCCATGCCTTACTGTCTTTCAAATTCATGACCTCTCTTTCTTTAATTTTTGATATGTATATATTTCTAAATTCATAAATACAACATGCTCTGTCTGTACAATGTTACACATATATATATGATTTTAGGAGTGTCCATTTGGCATTAGATAACCAGTTAACGTGCTCTTCCCCAGGGAAGATTGTTTCTCCTGGTCTCAGCATTCCTTACTTGCCCGTAGCACTTGTCTAGTGTTGAGACTTCATGAACTTGTCCCCATCCATGTTACTTCTCTGTTGGTGCCATCCTTGTTCACATCATGTTTAAGCAGCCATGTTGGTGAAACTTCATATTTTGCCAGCATCTATGTCTGTGTATCATGTGCATACCTGGTGCCCAAAAAGACCAGAAAAAGACAGTGGATCCCCTGCTATTGGTGTTATAGACGGTTAGCTGCTGTGTGGGTGCTGAGAATCAAACCTGGGTTTTCTTGAAGAGAATCCAGTGTTCATAACCTCTGAGCCATCTCTCCAGCCCCCAAACTGTTTCCTTTTCCCAACGTTGTATGTTCAGCTCCAAGAATAATTCCTGATTATGGTAGTGGCACATGGGACAAGATGCCAGTCTCAGACCATACCTGTATGGCTGTGTTCCATCTCATCTACAACCTAGGTTCCTGTCACTAATGCTTGGGACCAAGCTCTATGCTCTATGTTGCTCTATTGGTTGATGAAAAGGAATACACTGCTGTGCCTGGAGACTGCTTCCATTTTCATAACTTTAAAATGAGAAAAAATGATTATTATGGTGATCGAATGAAAAGGCATTTGTTTGTTCTTTTGTTTTTATTGAGGCAAGGTCTCTCTGTGTAAACTTGGATGTCCTGGAACCATGTAGTCCAGAGTGGTCTTGATCTCACAAAGACCTATATACCTCTGTCTCTAAGTGCTGGGATTAAATATGTGATCACCACTACCTGGCTAATGTGTGTCTGTATACACATACATATCCATGTTTGTGTGTGTGTGTGTGTGCATGTACATAGTGTACACATACACGTTGAAGTGTGCACACACAGAGGCCAGAAGAGGGCACAGGATTCCTGGAGCGAGACTTACAGGAAATTGTGAGCTGTCCAGTGTGGGTGTGGAGTATTGAACTGTGGTCCTTTTCAAGAGCAGCAGGCGTGTTTAACCATCGAACCATCTTTCTGGCCCCCAGCTTGATGCTTTTGAGACAGGGTCTCTCACTGGCCTGGAACTTGCTACTGAACTCACAGGCCCAAGAGTCTCAGGAACCGTCCTATCTCTTCTTCTCCAGCACTGAGATTATAAATCTGTGCCACCATGCCTGACTTTGTGGTTGGAGAAGGTAGGGAGAAGAAAGCATATTTAAAATGGCTATCTCATAGTAGGTGTTCACAAGCATATTCACACTCTTTTCCCCTTCTGGCTGTCTTCTATGTTCCACCTTTCAGAACAAGAGCACACACCCTTGTGTGAGGCTCTCCTCTCTATTGTAAGCAGCAGGTGCAGAAAACATGAGAAATGGAAATTCATTAAGGTCCTGTACAGTCTCCAGCCTGAAAGGAGATCTGCCGTAAGAGTTTTCCATTCTCCAGTTGCACAATGGGGCTAGAGAACTCTGCCCTTGGACGGCCGGTATTCTGAGGAGTCACACATGGGGTAAGCCTCAGCTGCTGTGTGGGCCATAATGGAATGTGGCTCAGGGCTGCCTGATGCCATGTAGAGTTGGATAAATTTGGTCTGTTCTCATGTCTCTGAGAGACCTTTCACCTTGAGGACTCAGTAACTAGAAAAACATTCCAGGAGCCAACAGTTTCACATTCTCCAGTGAGCCATGGAGCAGACCGTTGCTGCCCGGATAGCAGACAAATTTATGAACTGTGAGGGGGATCTAAATCTGATCCTCGGAAATAGAATGTTGATTCTTGCACTAGAAGATAACAAGCTTCCTGACAGCAAGACGATCTGGGCTCTGTCTTTCTGTGTACTAAGCAATATATTAAGATTGAGCTGCCCAAGGTTTCACAGGTAAGCAGAGGAGGTGGTCAGACCAAAGACAATCCTGAATTTCATAGTTGTACTCGATGTAGTTTACAGAAGTTGACAGAGTAAGATCCTGCCTGGTAGGTCCAGGTATTATGGGATGTCATTGGCTTGAATATTTGAGAAGCTTCTGCTTAAACATTGCTCCCCCACCTACTGCTTAGGAAAGATACTACTAGAGCAGGAAAGATGGCTCAGTGGTTTAGAGCACTTGCTGTTCTTGCAAAGGACCCAGGCTCGATGCCCAGTGCCCACGTAGTGTCTCAAAACCGTCTGTAACCCCAGTTCCAGAGGATCCAATGCCCTCTTCTGTCTTTCACTGGCCTCAGGGACACTTGTGATGCACAAATGTATATGACGGCCAAACACTCCAATGTATAAAATAAATCTAAAGATAAAATTAAAAACAAAAAGATACCTTCCCATATCCAGCCCTAATTCTTTATCTGTAAAGAAACAGTGATAGGAATGCGTTGTTTGCAAGTCAAAGACAAAACAAAACAAAACACCGCACATAACACCAAATGTAAAGGTGTTCAGTTAGTCGTTTTATTATTACATTTTGTATAGAGGGATGTGAATAACAGTTGCAGTTGGAGGATAAAACATGTAAAATTCAATTGAACTCATTCGACTTGTCTCAAACAACCAGTGGAGACCTCTGAAGCACTAACATACTGAAAATGAGTGGCCTTTGGTCTAGAGGAACTCATGCTTTTGCAACTGACATAGATGGATGAGTAAGCAAACAATTTCAGGGATTTGAGTGATAAAAGCAAGTGGAGACGCTTCCGCAGAAGAGTGGAGGTGGTACTTAGACATCTGAAGGAGTCAGGGGAGGCCCTGCTGAAGAAGCGACTCTCGGATTCTGAGGACTGGGTTTTAAAAGACGACCAGGCAGGAATTCACCAGCTGGAGTGGATGAGGGAAATTGTGGCGATACCTTTAAAAGCATGAAGAAAACACACAGAAGAATGAAAGCTCGTTGTGGGAGGAGGGGCATGGAGCAGCTGCATATCGCTAACATGATGGAGTCTGATCAGCCAAAGATGTTCCCAGAGGACCTAGCCTGACTGCTCAAGAGTCAGGCTTTGCTCTGGAGGCAACAAGGGAGCTGGGCAGACAAACAAGACAACAGCATGAGTGATATGGGTGCATATGTGCATGCCTGTACTTGTGTGTTTTGTTTTGAGACAGGGATTCACTCTGTGTGTGTGTGTGTGTGTGTGTGTGTGTGATGTGTGCATATGTGTGCCCAGGCTGGCCTGCTTGTTTCAGCCTCCCTCCCAAGTGCTGAGATTATCAGTTATATGACACTGTATACAGGGATTTTCTTTTTTCAAAAAAATGAGTGCAGGACGGGTATAAAACAAGATGACTGGAGGCCAGGAGCCCTAAACCTGTAGAGATAAGCAACCCATCTAAATTTCTTAATTTGGAAGTCAGAGAGTGATCTAGAAGATGGCTAGACCTGGCTCTTAGGCTGAACTTGGCTAACTTGCTCCTTTATATGCATCTCTGAAGCCTGCCTATGTGTAGACGTGGTGTAGAGCAATGGTGACGTGTGAGCAGGAAGATAAAGCTACAAAGGATCAGTGAGGCTTGGGCTAGCCAAGACTCTTCTAAACCCATGGTTTGCCGCTGCTTTAAAGAACGCTCAGCACTCTTCCTGCATTTCCACTTTCTGAGGTCCGTATTCACAAAGAGAATGAAAACCTTTATTGGAGGCAATCATTCATCCATCCACACATGGGACATATTGACAGAGTTTTAGTCTAGTCTCTGGTTGATTCCTAAGAGATGGAAGACAATTCTGCCCTCAGAGGACTCATGACTAAGTTCAGCTATGAAATGCGTGGACAAGATCTGGTGGTGAGAATGCTAATCCAACAATCCCAAAAGGGGTGTGCCTACTACTACAGGAGCTTGACCGAGGATATGAGACAGTTGTAGCAATCTGAAGCAGAGAGCCTTGTGCTAAACTCTGAATGTCAAAGAGGTTATAGAGGAACCCTAAACTAAACCAACCCTCTAGGTTCTCTGGGTTTATAGGGCAGGTAGGAGTGATTAGAATTCAGCACAGCCTTCTTTGCACTCCTAAAGCTGGATGCATGCTCTGTCAGTTTCCACTACTACACCAGGCTTAAAGTATGACTTTCCTCTGGCTTATTACACTAAAATGCAGTCCTCCTCAAGTAGGTGGCATTGGTCTGCCATTTTCTCAACTCCTCTGTTAGATTCTGCTTCCAGGTATCCTCTTTGTGATCTCAAGGATCCCCCAACATTGAGGAACCATGGAAGACAATTCTGCCCTCAGAGGACTCATGACTAAGTTCAGCTATGAAATGCCTGTCCATGTCCAGGAGCTCCTCCTGGACAGAGCCCTAGGTTCCCAATTCGTTGTCATTCATCTCTCTGTCACACGGTAGCGTGTGGGGTTAGTGTCTGAATGGCTTTTACACACTGAAATGGGAGGGCCATGTTCCCCCACATGTGACTACTACATAGTTTAAGGTGTTTGTCCTATGAGAGGATCTGTATTCAACATTGTTTTTCTTCTACTTGTCTTCAGTGAGACACACACCATCACCATTTTTCCCATGAGCACACTCTCTCTTTATGGTTCTCTGTGATGTTTCTGTCTCTGTTGCCACCTACCTTTGGGCAGCCTCATTAATAAAGCTCTATCATGATACTTGTCCTACGTGGAGTTTTAACCATCTGTCTATTTTGGCCCTTCCATCAGATAAAAATCTCTGTGGCCTACTCATTTTTCTTCTCTAGTTCCTACATGTGGTGACATCAATTAGTATTTGAAGAATGAATGTATTTGTAAAAGATTGGATAGAAGCCTTTGGAACAAGCTCTTATCAAAAGAACATTACTCTAGAGGTAAGTCTGCCATGCAGAAGGGACAACTGGAGAGTCAACCCTTCTGAGTTCTACTGATGCCCTAAAGGAAAGGCCTGTGCTTGCTCAGCCTGGTGCTGTGTAGCAGTTTTCTCCAAGACTGAATGCAGCTCCATCTTTCAAGGAAGCACATTAAGATAGAAGGTAAACAACTCAAAATAGCTTCAAGAAGTCTCTGAAACTGACCAGATTCACTAGCCTCCTCCCTCCCAAAGAAAGCATGAAAGACTACTGAGAGTCACTTTCAGATATCTCAAGCTGCAAAGAAAACTCTGACAAGCCCAACTGCTGGAAAGAGGCCAAGATGATAGAGCTACCTGGAAGAGGCTTAGATCAACTGATCCCACTTGGAAGGAAAAACCCGTTGAGCTGCCTGTAAACTATGTTCCAGGTCCCCAACTTTTGTGAGCTGTCACCCATGTTGGGGTGGGCTTTGGTGATGCAGGTATCTTTGAGTCATTTCTGTTCCTGTAAGTAACCCCTTAGTCACATTCCTGTAAGCAACCCCAGTAACACTCATTGGAAGTGGGATTTTGGTGAAATCTATACTTTGATCTATTGTGGGATCCCTATCAAGGGTAGTGTGCACGTGTGTGCATGCGTGTGTGTGCATGTGTGTGTGTGTGTGTGTGTGTGTGATGCATCATTCCAGGAAATTTTGTCACAGAGCATCTTGGTGTTGAGTAAGTCATGAGAAAGATATTCTTTCAGAGAACAGAGAAGAGACAATATCTCAGACTTTAATTGCTTGGGCCCTGTCTGTCCTCATTTCTGTAAGCCCATTTCTTTGGGTTTGTGCTACTTTGTATGAATCTTATTCATGAACTAAGCACTATTAATGATGTGCTACTTGACCTGAATTTTGCTTCAACATTAATGCAGTGGAAATCACTAAAGAGAAGTAAATTAAAGTTAATACTCACTGAAAAGAAAGGACTAGTCTCCGGTTTATTATTAGAACTGACCTTCAATCTAATTTTTTATAGTAACATAAAAAATACTAAGAAATCTGATTGCCTAGCCATGTATACCATATGCTAGGAGTCCAAAGTCAAATATGGGAAAAGTCAAACAGTGTATGGGAAACAAATAAATGAATCATAGTGTTGAGTAAACTGCAATTTGGCCTAGATCCATGAACACAGACCAAAGAAGTGTCTCTGCAAAGATGTAAGAAATAGCTTTGGAAATATTTCAGAAGTGGATTTGAACTTGAATTTGACCCAGAGAAATGACTACAGCTGAACCTTGTCCTGTGGACCGAATACCAAATGTTTTCTGCTAGTTCGTTTTTGCTCACTGGTTTGTCTATGGATCATGAGAGAGGCTCCCTGCAGAGTGAGCTGTACTCCAGAATGACCTTAGCCATGAGGATGTGTGGTTAGCCAGAGCTAGGCTGATGCCTGCCTGTGGGAAGCAAAGACAATACAATCTAAAGACTGAGCAACCGAGTGAGTTCTGGTCTCAAGCATGTCACTAACTATACACTGTTTGGTCTAATACCTGATTTGTCGTTTAGTTATAATAGGATGTTTTAATTTATGGAATCACTGTTTTATAGCTAAAGTCACCTTGTGGATAACCAGAAGTAAAAGGAGAAAAAAATGTGGGGCTAAATTTTTCTAAACCTGCCAATTTTGTGTGTGTGTGTGTGTGTGTTGAGTTCTAAACCCAAAAGGAAATATAAAATGACAAGGTACAAATCCCCCTGTCTCAAAAACTGTATGGAATCTTGGGTGATGGCTTAGTGGGTTACCGATCTCACATGTAAACCCAGGTTTTTATTCTACACATTGATGGAAAAGGCTAAATGTGGGTGGGGTCAAGGGAGGTGGATCAGAAGTTAGGAGCACTTGCTTTTCCAGAGGACCACAGTCCAGCTCCCAGCACCCATATCAGGCAGCTTACAACTGCCTGTAACTCAAGCTCCAGTGAATCCAATGCCAGGGCTCAGTGGACACACTGTACATGTATACACACACACACACACACACACACACACACACACAGAGAGAGAGAGAGAGAGAGAGAGAGAGAGAGAGAGAGAATCTTAAAATAAATATTTAAATAATTTTTAGAAAGAAAGAGAAGGAAAAATATGGAAACAATAAAAATATGAGAAAACATTCCAGAGCAACTGGCTGTCTGTGTTAGAAGGCTCTGAAGCAAGCAGTGGGGACGAAGACAGGAGCTCACACCAGGGCCAGGCTGGAAGCTTCACTCATAACGAGGCTCTTTTCTAATCTAGTCTCAGTACACTGCCAACCTGATGAACTTAGGGCCAAAAAACCATGCCTCGAGAAAAATTTGACAAGACAATTAAACAAATGAGATGGTTCAGAGTAAAGAGATGAATCTGGTCTGAAGACCAAAAAGTGCAAGGGGCCAGCGTGTCTCAAATCCTCACGCCAGCTTTCTGTTTGTCAACGGTGAGTCTCTTCCCGGATATGCTCCACTGGACAGTTCACTGGATGAGCGCTCACACATCAGAGTCTCAGATGGAAGCCAGATGTGAGGCAAGAGTCCTGAAGAATCATGGGAGCTTTCAAGGCGTCTTCAGAAGTAGCAGGGGTGTAACTTACTGCCATAAGAATACAATATGTAATTATATATTGCCTCTGTGCTTATTTTAGAACTGATGGGGCCTTTAGAAACCATATGGTCTATGCCCATTTATTTTGCAGATGAAGCTAAAACGGTTAAGTGGATTGACTTAAAGTCACCCAGGAAATCAATAGTAAAATAATGTTTCTAAAACAGAATACTGTTTGGGATAGACATATGTCCCACACAATAAGTGGTACTTATAACATGATGATCTTCCTCTGTGTCCTGACATACCATCTTTGCTGCACTTTCCTGTGAAAATGTTTTGTTTAGTCAAATTTTCAGTGTCTATTAGAGACTTTTAGTTGCTCTTAGCAGCATGTGTTCCTCCCAGGACAGTGACCATCAAATATATGTTTTACTGTAACTGAAACCTGCTTGATTACCCTGTGATCATATGTACGAGCCCAGCAGCCTAAGTAGTTGTTCTCGGTTTGTCCCAAGGCCCAGCCTGCTGCTCTACTCCACTTCCCCTTCTACTTACAGATATCGAGGACTCACTACACTGTAATCTTGAGGAAATTTACCAGGCTGTGGCAATTAAGAAATTGTGTGGCCTGTCAAGATGGCTCAGCAGATAAAAGTGCTTATCTCAGTGTCTGATGACCATAACAGAATGAAGAGATCAATTTCCAGAAGTTGTACCTGACCATCACATATACACCTCTCACCCTTATGCATCATAGATACACAATAAAATAAAATAATTTGTTTAAGAAACATATTTTTTACATGACCACCACCACGTGTTCCTAACTCATCTGTTGCCAGGACTACTCTGAAAACTCTACATCTCCAGGTATCTAACCTAACAACTTTCAATCTATCCTTCTCTTTGCTACCAGAAATAGCTCTTTAAAATGAACTATGTCATACCTCTTGTCTGAAACCGAGGACGGCTTAGTGTTGCCTACAAAAAAAGAACCCACATCCCAGCATAGTGTCCACACCCTCTACCATCTGGTACTTTCCTTATGGGACCAGATAAATAATGCATGAACAACTACTGTCTACGCAGATAGCCTTTCACCAGCATCTCCACACTAATATTCAACAATGAAATTTAATAAGTGTCCACATGTGCCAGATGTTTCTAATTGTTGTTTGAGTTCTTTGTTTTGGTTTGTTTATTTGTTTGTTTGTTTTGAAATAGAGTCTCTTGTAGCAGAGGGTGGCCTTGAACTTAACATGTGGCCAAGGTTGGCTTTGATTTCCTGATCTTCCTGATCCCACCTGCCAAGTGTTGAGATACCAAGAGGTCACCTCCATGTCTGGCCTCAGTGTGCTGGATCTGAATAATGAATATTTTATCATAAGATAATATAAAAAAAATGAGGGCCTAGAATTTAGAGTTCTGCCTTTGGGGACAGTTGCTGGCCTTTCCACTGAGCTGCCTCAGTTTCTCCATCTGTGTGCTAAAGAGTAGAGCTAAATGATCCCTAAGGTCTTATGGTTCCTGGCCCCTGGTGCTAGAATCCTCTTGAAGATCTAACCAGGACTGTTAACCCACAGCCAGCATGAATTGAGTTACACAGACAATTCCTAGCCCAGCAGTTTGACATCATCTTACTGCGTCTGTCTCATCCCTTCCTCACTAGCTCTTAGGCTCTGCCAATTCATGGCACCAAACTGAAACGTACACTGTGGTGAACAGACCGTGAAGCTCTCCATGCCTTCAGCTGGGCCTCCATATTCAGACCAAGAAAAAAGAAAAAAGAAAAAAAGGAAAAGGCCAGAGAAAAAGGCTAAATCAGTAAATGTTTGCCTCAGTTCATACCTAGAACCCATTTTAAAAAGACAGGCTGCCTGTGCCTGTGATCAGTACTGGGGACAGGGAGAGAGGTGGATTGCTTGGGCTCACTGGCCAGCCAGGCCCAAGTAGTAACTTTCAGGCCAGTCTCTACATATGCACACACACTTGCGTATCTGCACATACACACACGCGCACACACACACACACACACGGGGGGGGGGGAGGAGAAAGGGGGGGGGAAGAGGGAGGGGAGGGAGAGGAGGAGAGAGAGGGAGGGGGAGGGGGGAGGAGGAGAAGGAGAGAGAGAGAAGTGTGCTGACCTGCTTTGGATCCCTGAGACCCACATGGTGAAAGGAAAGAACAGACTTCTATTAAGTTGCCCACTGACCTCCCCACAAAGTACAGAAGTATTCATATGCATACACACACACACACACACACACACACACACACACACACACACATATACTGGAAAAGAAAGATAGAAAGGAGAGAAAAAAAAAAAAGAATGTTCACTCCACTCCAGGAAGGGCTAATGCTGACTCAGCGTGCTGTAGGTCTGGTCTTGGAGCAGGAAGTTGTGCAGACCCACAGGGCTTTGCAGGCTTATGTAAGAATGAGAGCAAAAGGTCAAATAAGCAAGAAAAAATGTCCCAAGGGGGATTTTTATGAGTCAGGAAGGCTTTGGGGGTTCCCATTTGGGGGAAGCTTTTGTGTATTAGATGCCTCATCCTGGGTGGTAGCTCTACCAGTTCCGCTTTGCTATCTCAGTCACAGCTGGGCAATTCAAGGCCCTGATAATCACAACTAGTAAATAACCACGGGAGTCAAGTGTATCCCTCCAAGGTCCTGAGCTCTTCTTTTTGCATGGCCTGTGAAGCATCTGAAAGGAATTTAGAATGCCGCTGAGAGTAAGACTGGATGCTCTGGGACTAGTCGCTGCACAGTAGGAAATTGGGCACTTTACTAATAAAATAACCACTGTACTCCAAAGCCACAGGGAAAGATAGAGTTACAGTCACCATACTAGATAGCTTTAGATCACAAATCATCCATGTTCCTTCAGAAAGAAAAGATGATATTTGCTAATTCCTTGACTGAGTGTGGCTAATAAGCTGGATGTGGCAGCATCTTGTCTATAGCCATCTGAGTGGGCTAATCTCCAGCAGGAGTCTGTAGCCGCTGTCTGCCTAGTGATGTGCTGCTGTCTAAGCTCCTGGCTTCACAGTTAGCTTGATGTTTTGCTGAGTCCGACTCACCCTCTCCCAGCCTCAATTGTTCTGAGCCAATGTAGACTTCCCATATCGTTGGCCTACTTAGAGACAAAGAATGTTAGTGTTGGAAGGGAGCTACTTTAGAAGTCACCTACTACAACCCTCTCAATGCTACGAATGAGAGAAATGAGCCTCAGATGAGGCTTATCCATGTTTTGTTTGATTTGGGGTGGGTTTAGCGATGAGGCCTGGTGGAACCTCAGCACTAGAGCCCATAGGGAAGAGGGGGAGCGGTGAAACTGGGAAAACAGGGTTGCCAGGGCTAGAGTGGAACTCTGGGTGTTCCCTGGGAGAATGGATTGTGTCAGCAAAGCAGCATCAGGATCCAAGCCAGGCAGCCTGAAGTTCAAGGCAGGGCTTCTGTCCAAGCAGGGAAGTGTGAGCGGAGGGTAGAATTAGGCTGAAGGTCAGTTATGAAAACTAGGCGTGTGAGAGGGTACAGAGAAAAGGGGAGAAACGTGGTGGTTCAGACCATCAGGGCATACAAAGTTCACCAGAGCTGTGATGAACTCCACCCCCCCAACCCCCATCTTTCAGGAAGAGGGTTGGCCTGAGCCAGGGTCTCACGGTGTAACTTTGTGCACTACATAGACTAGGCTGGTCTTGAACTCATAGAGATTCACCTGCCTTCACCTCCTGAGTGCTGGGATTAAAGGTGTCCCTGGCTCCTAATCATATCTTAATGTTCTTCCTTCAACCTAGACTTGTATAACTTAGTTATCTTTCAAGTCTAGGTCAGAAGATACCTGCTCTCTAACTTAGTACCTTTTAAGGTAGACCACTCCCACTGCTACTCCCTGGCTTGAAAAGATATTTCTTTTCTTTTTTAATGGCCTGACTGCTGGGGAAGGAGAGTCCATTTTCTTGGGATGGAGGTGGCCACTCACAGGTTACCCACGCCCCAGTGTATGATCCCACATTCTTGTATATGCATGTGTGAGTGTCACAAATTGAAATCAGTGAATTGGCTTTTTTGGTTTTTGTTTCTGTTTTAGAAATTGGGAAGAAATTAAAAATTTTCAGAAGGAGTGAGTTTCTAAGACAACACTTTTTAAAAAGACATGGCCTGGAGCCCCCTGAGATAATCAACAGCAATGAGGGTCTGGAGTGCACAATTCTGGATTCTTAGTTCACCCTTTGGTTTTTCCCTGGGACTGCACATAGATTGAACAGTAGTATGCCACTTCTCGGGTATCCAGCTGTCAACTGCAAGCCATTCTGATTGATTGCCACGGAGGGAGGGAGTTCTAGTCACCCTAGTGGTGGGAAAGCTTATACAACTAACCAACAAGGGATGGTAGAGCCAAAAAGGTATTAAATATGGTATCGGGGGGAGGTGTCCATATGATCAACTTGATCATTTGCCAGGAAAGGAGAAAGGAGAAAAAAGAGAAATCATGGTAGGATTAAAGACAGCTATGCCAAGAACTGACATATGAGATGACTCATGGAAACCGTAATCCGATTATAAAGGGAACTTAACGTTTGAGCAGACACAGGATTGTCACTTAGATGATCTCATTGATTTGTAGACAACCCCAGGGCAAAGGGTGCTGTGTGTGTACACCCATGCATGTATACACACACAAAGTTGTTATAATATTCTCTTTACAGGGATGACCGAATCTCTGACAAAAGTGACATGCCAAACATCGACTATTCCTCTACAATGCCTTGGAAGCCCAGAGATCTCCTGGTCCAGAGCCATGGTATTAAAAGTCAGCTGCTTTTAGGAATGAAGAGGGGGCTCCTCTGACCCAAAATCACATAGAATGGCTCATGAAGGATTTTTTTTTCTGAGATATGACTCAGAGGTAGTCTCAGTAAACTACAAAACTTTTCTAGGTTGTTTTATAATAAAGATAGAAAATCATTAGTCAGCTGATTTGTAGAGAGTTGGCTGATACAGAGCAAATCTCTGCTTGAGAGAGGCATGGTTCAAGTGGACCAGAGAATCTGGGGCAGGAGAAAAGAAAGAGCAGAGGGTAGTTATTTATTACCTGCATGTGACCCAGGGACCATAATGGGTGACCAATGGGGACTGCTGCTGTGCTATTAGGTCAGCTCAAGACACACAAAGAGGGAGCTTTAGGGAGCTAGGATGAACCCAAGAGAGGCTGCTCAACTGGTTCCTGTCTCAGATCCATCTGTAAGGGACCTCAAACCACAGGAACCACAAACAGGCTCTGCTAAAGGTTCTGTTGTATTTAAGCAGAATACAGGTTTGTCTTCTAATCAATAGGTGCCCCCCCCCTTAGAAGCACAGACTTAATTTAAGTAACTCTTTCCCATGATGCAAATCTCTGAATGCATAAAACAAATGTTAGGAAATGGTTTGTAATTACAATAAGAATTTCAGGTTTTCTTTAAAAACATCTTCACCAGAGTTTGAGGGGTAAAGACAGGTAGATCTCTGAGTTCAAGGCTAGCCTGGTCTACATAGTAAGACATTGTCTCAAAAAGAAATTATTTTTTCTGTACCTACATAGGATGTGATTCCTTAATTTATTGTCTGTCTGTGTCTCACACATAAAAATTATCTAGTTGATTTTTGTTTTTATTATGCTTTGAATCTGAAGTATCCCCACAGGTTCATGACTTCAGTGTTTCTTCCTCAGCTGAGAGTGCCGCTGGGCCTAGCAGGCAGAAGTCACTCAGGCCAGAATTTCAGAAGCATTAGCATTCTATCTGTTTCCCAGGCCAACTGTGAGCTCCCACTGCCACAGAAGGAGCTATTCTTTCAAGATGTCCCTGCTATGCTAATCTGAAAAACCTCAGAAACTGTGAGCTAAAGCTAGCTTCTCCTCCCTTAAGTTGTTTCTGTCAGAAGGTAACTGCAATGAGAGTGATACAAAGAACTGATACTGTTTCCAAACAAAATTCACTCACTCCATACCAGTCTCCCTGAGCTTGAGCAGACCTATTAAGGAAATAGAACCCGGTACAAGGAATACATACTGGAAAAAAAAAAAAAAACCTTTAAGTCCAAAGTCTTTCACGGGACGAATTCAGAGATCTAGAACTTCAAAGTATTAGCAAGGGTCACTGCCAACCCCACCCCCATCGGAAGCCAGAGCCTCAGTTACCTATACCAAAGAGTTAGAGGAGAAATACACTAGCCCCGAAGGTCTGATTTTGCAACTCTGCTCTACCAAGTCTGTCCCACAGAAGAACATGGTTCTTTGGTTTCTGGATTTCCCATTTCTTCATCTCTGAAACAGAAGGAAATCATTAAGGCTAGGAGTATGTGTTTGCCAAACTCGTCTTCGAATTCTAATGTTTCTGTCTGCCTGGTGGTTTTGCATCTCTTCTGGAATTTCTTTCCTCTTCTTTGATTGTGATCTATTGTGAGGCTCTGTACCATGTAGGCCTTCTGTGCAGTGGGTCTTCCAGCAACTGGCACTCACACAACTACTTTGGAATTCTGCTGTAAACTGAAGTTGTACAAAAAAAAAAATTCAACTTACACTATTACAATGGTTAACTTTATGTCGGCTTTTCTAAGTCACCTTGGCCCAGAAATTTGCTCAAACATAATGTTTGAATTTTTAAAGAACATTTTGGAGGCAATTAACATTCATACTAGTGGATTCAGAGTAAAAGCGATCATAATGTAGTGGGATTTACTCAATCAGATGAAAGCCTGACAAAACACTTGCTTTCCCTGGGCATGAGAGAACCTCAGCAGATGATCTGTAGACTCAAACTGCAGCACTGGTTCTCTTCTGGATCTGCAGCTGGCAGGCTATCATGCAGAATCTAGCTTTGTCAGCCTACAGCCCAAGTAGATTCTAGGGGATGGAGTGATAGCTCAGTGGATAAGAGCATTGACTTTCAAGGGACCCGGGTTCAATTTCCAGCACCAACATGGTGACTCACAACTGGTTGTAACTCTAGTCTTGAGTGATCTGATGCCCTCTGGCACCAGGCACACATATGATATACAGATATACATGCAGGCAAAACATCCATGCACATAAAATACAGTAAAAAAAAAAAAAGAAAAGAAAGAAAGAGAAAGAAAACTCTACCCTGTCTCTCCTTATCTGTCTCTGTCTGCTCCTCTCCCTCCCTCTCTCTCTCCCTCTCTCTCCCTCTCTCTCCCTCTCTCTCCTCTCTCTCCCTCTCTCTCTCTCTCTCTCTCTCTCTCTCTCCTCCTCTCTCTTCTCTCTTCTCTCCTCTCTCCTCTCCCTTCTCTCTCACATGCACACACACACACACACACACACACACACACACACACACACACACAAGCCTGGAGGACCCTGACTAACACAAATGTGGCCAGGACTTCTTACCTGTGATGCTTTCTGACAGAAGGCTGACATATGCTGCTGCTTCCTGGGAAAAAGCAATGCTCAGGGGCAATGTATTTTCCATGACCCCTGCTCTTCACTCCTAAAACTCAGCGCCTTGGTGGAGAAGTGGAGTTGACAAAGGACATAGAGGAAGCAGTTCCAGAGAATAAATTGATTTATTACTAACAGACCACATTTACTGTGTAGGAAAATGCTTTCTCCAATAACCAAAAAACCAAAAAGAGAGAGACTGCAGTGGAACAGAAGGAGAAGGAGATAAGGCCTTTCGTAGCCTCTTGGATCACTTCAGATCAAGATCTTAATTGAAAAGTAGAACTGTTTGGTTTAGTGTGTGGCTTGGCAATAAATCTGCTGTGAGCCCTTCATCAGACATACTAGGTGTCTAGATCAGACATACTAGGTGTCTAGATCAGACATACTAGGTGTCTAGATGAAATGTGCAGTATAAAAAAAAAATCACGGCACCCTGTCAACATGGTGACACAGTTAAGGAGGTAAACAGGATTGTCCCTTTAGGAAGGATTTGCTGTCTAAACATAAGGAGTGTGGCCAGAAGAGAGCCTTCAGTTCTAGCTTCTTCTGCACGGTCTCAGCTGCAGAGATTCAGTTTGCTGCAGACTCTGGGATTCCCTTGGCATCTGTCCCGTGGCTGTGTGAGCTGCAGGTAAAAAGATCCAGTTGGGATGCTCTGGAGGACAGCATATGCTCCAGAGCCCTTGCTTGAAAGGAGGCTCTCTCATGACCTTTATGATATTTGACTTTCTCCTTTCTACATCCCACTTCCTTCCTTCTTCCTTCACATATATTGATCCCTAATATGTATCAACCCCATTTCCCTCAGTACCTGCTTCCAAAGAAACCAACCTGTGACATCCATAGGCAGTTAGCTTCATTGCAGGTAGAATATGAGGAAACATGAAATTGCGAACATGAAATCACACTTAGGAATATGTTAATACATGAGAGTCATAGCTCTATATAGATGTGGGATAGAAAAAATGAGCCGAATTAGCTGAAAAAGAAGTGTTTTATTAAGAATTAGGGGTCTTGTGGAACTCATTGGTCATCAATGGAAATTATCAAAAGCTAAAGTTAGCCTTTCGCTCCCTCCCCCACGCACCTCTGGCTCTCGCTTTCTATCTCCCTCCCTTTTCCTTCCTATTTCCCACTCATCATAGTGCCTTGTCCGTGTTCTTCATGTTAGATCACTCTATCTTTTCAAGATTAGTTTTATGTGTATGAGTGTCGGCCCCCATCTATGTATGTATGGCATGTGTATGCCTGCCCTTTCCTCTAGAGGTCGCTAGATTCCCTGAAACTAGAGTTATGAAAGGTTGTGAGACACCACGTGGGTTCCGGTAACCTAATCCAGGTCTTCTCCAAGAGCAAGGAGTGCTTTTAATCGCTGAGTTATCCCACCAGCTCCTGGATTCACTCTTAGTGCTTATCAAATCACATGATCTCCAAGCAGAAACTCCAGACTATCAGGCTCAGTGACCCTAGTCTCGGTCCCCTTAGAGGATCAGAGCCTGCAGCCATCTGATCCTCTCTGTGGATTCTCAAGTGAGTCCTGACTTAGCTTCCTCCTCTGCCATCAACTATGACTGGAGTCTAGGTCATTTCTGATGGAAAGCTACCTTCCCTCTACGGTTATACAGGAGTTTATCTTCTAAGAAGTGAGAGCTAAGTGAGCATCTCTGGCACACAGTCCTCACAGCTAAGGTGCTGTGGAAGAAATGTCCTGCTTTCAAGTCAAACAGTCAGTTCCGAGTTCCTCATCTACCATGGATTAGTTGCATTAAATTGGATAGAATCAGTTAAAGCTTATCTTGTTTGCTCAACTCACGAGTAGGGATAATTCCTCTAGCTCAATGGTGTTTTTAAAACTTGTTTACTTTTCAAAAGTTATTTTACATTTTATTCATTTGTTTGTTTGTTTGTTTGTTTGTTTTCTGAGACAAGGTTTTTCTGTATAGCCCTAGCTGTCCTGGAACTCACTCTGTAGACCAGGCTGACCTGGAACTCACAGATTTGCCTGCCTCCACCTCCTGAGTGCTGTGATTAAAGGCATATGCCATCACTGCCTGGCTAGGAAGTGTTTTTACATTTTTAAAAGTTGGCTGCTAAGGTATGCAGCAGAAATACAGAAGTAATATGTGATTTTTGCTGTAGACAGATGTTCTCATTCTCGTGAAGGAAAAAAGTAAGGAAGGACATAATTATGGTTCCGGGTGATGTGCAGTTAAAGAGGATAGCATACCTGGGTTAGGTGTCCTCCCTGCATGCCCTCAGTGTGTATACTTGTGTATATAGACAGAAAAGACAAAGGAGGGAGAACAGGAAAGCCTTGCAGAAGAGGGAAACCTAAGTGGAGGCTTGACAGGGAAGAGAAAGATCTGCACAGAGGCACTGAGAATATCATGTGCTGGATCACAAGTGTGCGGCAGGGTGGTTACGTTCAGAGATGTGACAATGTCATGGTGAGCAGGGCTAAAATAAGAGGTAGCATCTGGCATGGAGCCAGACAGGAAGTGTGGTGAGGCCCTGGAGATGAGGCTTGACTAGAGCTGAAGCCGGGCCGCTTCTCTGAGGAACAAGAAGTAAAACAGAAGTGCTCCTACATACCAGTCCTCGGCACTGAACTGTATGTCAGGAATTAGGCTGCGCTATCTCGTCAGTTTGTCTCTGGGAGAAAAGTAATATCTTCATTTTACAGGACCTTATCTGAGTAATTTTCCCAAGTTCACCTTGAGAAAGGTCATCTTGTTGGGATCCCTGGGAGCAGATAGAGAGAACAGGAGTTAACTGTAGGTAGTTTATTTTAGAAGTGATTTCAGGGGGAAAAAATCCAGTTAGAGAACATGAGGCATAGAAGAATAAGCTTCAGAGTTATTTCCAACAGGAGATGCAGCCAGGCTATTTCTTGACAAGTCTTATTGGTATTGTGGTTTCATGACTGTGTTTCATGATGTTGACTTTGGCATTCTCAGATCTGCCACAAAAGTCATGCATGCTGTTCAGGCAGGGTCCCCAGGTATTCTCACTAAGCTGTCCTCACCATGTGGGGGTGTGGCCCACGAGACCATGACAAGACCCCGACCACGTGCAAGGAGTAAGGCAAACAGTAAGTTGGATGACACAGAGTCTAGCTTGGTTTTTATATTGATGACTTCCATCATCAGTCCACCAGTATGGGGAGGGCATGGTAGAGCAGAGCACTTCACACAGTAAGTAGAGAAAGAGGCCACTGGCAGTGGTGGCACACACTTTTAATCCCAGCACTTGGGAGGCAGAGGCAGGCAGATTTCTGAGTTCAAGGCCAGCCTGGATTACAGAGTGAGTTCCAGGATAGCCAGGACTATACAGAGAAACCCTGTCTCGAAAAACCAAAAACCAAAAACAAAAAACAAAAAAGAGAAAGAGAAAGAGGCAGGAAGGGGTCAGGGATACTCTATCCCCAAGGACCTAATTCTAGTCACTTACCTCCTCCAGCTGGGGCTCACCTCCTTTAGTGTTTAGAACATCCCAAAATGGGGACCACCCATTACTTTGAAAGTAGGGGTAGTAAGAAAAGAACTCTGGCAGTCCAAGCTGGACGTGACCCTGTGACTCTCCTGCCACCACCTTGAGTACTATCATTACCGGTGTATTCCAGCAACCTTTTACTGTCTGAGCCTTTCCTAAGGACACTTCATATCCAGTATCATAGCATTTTGCTTTTGTCCCCCTAGGCAGCTAAAATCAGTAAACTGTTTCCCTCCATTACCCTGTGAGATCAATCTACCCCAAAGGTTCACTTTCAAATGAGTTTACAATTTTATAACTACAGCCTGAGATGGATGTAGTTAATGGTTGAGATCTGTCCAATCCCTGGGATGCCTTCAAAGTATCTTTCCTATTTTCTCATGCAAAGTGGTTTCTTCCTTCTATTCCTCTTCCTTTTCTTGGTATCTTTAAAGGGACTAACCTCTGTAATACCACGTCTTTATTTCAACTACTTTCTTTTCCAGCAGAGCACACATCTTTCAAAAGTTTCTATACATTTTGCTCCTGAGTATTGCTGTAAATCTGGCTAAAAACATCCAATAGTAACCATGCCACATCTTGAATGCTCTCCTCTCATGGAACTCCTCCTATTAAATTAGTCTGCCACTTTTAAAGTTGGTTTCCTATTAAGTTTCAGGACATTGACAAAGTAGAGACAAGTTCTGTGACCTGTAGTCCAATTCCTTCCAGAGATCCGTCTCATCTGAAACTTCATTAAGTGCAATTTCTACTATTCACATCTCTTCCTCCTCCTACTCTCCTCCTTCTCCTCCTCCTCCTCTTCTTCCTCCTCCTCCTCCTATTCTCCTTTTCCTCCTCTTTCTCCTCTTCTTCCTCCTCTTCCTCCTCCTCTTCTTCCTCCTCCTCCTTCTATTCTCCTCCTCCTCCTCTTCCTCCTCCCTCCTCCTCTTCCTCCTCCTCCTCTTCCTCCTCCTCTTCCTCCTCCTCCTTTGAGTACCATTTGCATACCTGGTACCCATGGAAGATAATGGATTCCTTGGAATTGGAGTTATAGAGAGTTGTGAGCCTACTTCTTCTAGAAGAGAAGCTAAGGCTCTAACCTCTAAATCATCTCCCACACCCTAGGAAGGTCTACATTTCTAATAGTGTTCTTGTCTTCTGAGCTCTCAGGAGCTGCCTATAAATCTCTGCTCACAGAAGTAGCCTACGTCTCCAAAGTCTTCTAAAGTACTCCTGCAAACCAGTTTCATAGTGGGTGGATCTTCTCACCTCAGTTAATCTAGTCAAGATAATCCCTCACATCATGGTTAGCAGCTGATCTCTCAGGTGATTCTAGATCTTGACAATTGAGATTGACCACCACAATAATCATAGAGTACTTTCTCGAAAACACAGTAGGGCTTGTCCTGATGGATGACTGACACATAATGGGTGGTTAATGAATATTTTTGGATAAATTTATTAAGTCAATACAAATTAATCATTTAGTATTATTTTGCTATGAAAAGCCTTAGGGTAGAAATCAGGAGATTTGAAAATTAGGCAGTTTGGAGGCCTCTCCCATTAGTATGGAGGCTGTAAAAAAGGTTGTTTGGATTTTTTTAAGCTTTACTTTCCCAGTCTTCAAACCTCATTTTATTGCCTGCCTCACCTGCAGCAGTTAGGGTTTTGAGACTGAGTGTGAAAAGATAAAAGTGCAGCAAAGGATGTGATTATTCCATATCTCTGTCTTGGATTTGTACCAGGAGTAACTTATTAGTTGATCTTTGGATCCCATTATCTAAGACCAAGTATTTTGGGGTCCACCAAATATATCAGCCAGGCCTTTAGTTGCAAAAAATCCAAAACCAACAAAACAAAACAAAATTAAAAAAACAAAACAAAACAAAAAAACCAATCAAAAACCAGAAATTAATTCTGGCTATCGTAATCAAAGTAGGAGCTCATTGGGAGCTTACCATGAAGGTTTCAGAATAGACAGAATGTCTGAGCACTGACCAGGATGCACAAGCACTGACCACAGAAACACAGTAGTCGGAACACTACTCACACTTCACTGTACCATACATGTCAGTACCACCACCACTAGCACACATTCTAAGCCTTCCAAGATTTTTAGGTCATACTCCTTCAAATTTGAGTTCTTTGGTGAGATTGGTCTTATTGCCAGGGATGTAGAAGAGTGACTGGCTTCTTCCAATTTCTATACGTGGACGAGAGAAGACATACTCTCTCATCCCGTGTCATAAAATACCAGTTTTCCAAGATATGAGAAGGGGGCTCATATGCTAAGCAGCTAATAAGAATGCCAGTCCCACCCAAGACAGGATGTAAAGGAAGTGGGATACTGATGAAAACTAGGAAACTCAGAGTAGGAAATGGGAACAATTTATTGAGCAGCAACTGACTTGAGACTTTGCTAGGCAGTTTTCAAGGTCCTGGGTACAAAGACATGATGCTCTAGGTACTCAGTCAGCTAGGGAAAATAATACTAACACTATACTAAGGAAGAGCTGTAACCAATCTATGACAAAAGACAGTGGAGGAACAGAGCAAAGGATTGGTTCTAGAAGTCATACAGTTTCTCAGAAAAGTTTGCACAGGGGAGCTAGGTCTTGAAGGATTGCATAGAAAGCAGAGCCCTCTCTGGTATTTGTTAATCTTACTCATTAGCCAGAATCTGGGTCATGGTATTTCCTGTTCAGTCCTTTCCTGTTGCCACCAACCACAACACATATGCTATTGCAGTTAAGATCTAAAATTAGCATTATTGGGGCCTCAGAGTTATTAGGGTTCTGTTTGTGCCTGTGTTTTCTTCCTTTGCTCTCCCCAAGTTTTGACAATGGCAAAACTTAATTGGCTGTGTCTGCTGCTTTTGGCTATTTTCAATGTAAGTGTATACCCAGAACCTGTATTTAAATAATAGCTCAGCCAGGGACTGCTAATATGATCTCCCTAAGACCTGATTCCTCAAAGATAAAACAGGAATGAAAAATATTTGCCTCCCAGAGCCACTGTGGGGATTAACTGGGGAGACTTCCTTGGACTGCCAGCATGTTGGTCATTAGCAGGCTGAAGTAGTTCACGTATCTGTGGGGTTGGGGATGCCCCTCTGTTTTTCCCCACTTTGGCTTAAGGGGTTTCATGAAGCAGCAGAGGAGCTTCAAGAGGAAACTGTTTTCCAGGAAAGCAGAGTCCCAGAAGTGCCAAAAATGTAAGACTATTGTAGTGAAGGAGAAGCAGACAGAAATTTCTTGAGCAATGAGACCCTCCCTTAACACCTTCCTCCAAGGTAGAACAGAGAGTCCTACTCCTGGAATGCAGTAACACTTTTCAATCCTAGGAGACTGATTTCAAAAACAGCTGTCCTGGCTCCAGGAAGGTTTGTCTCTGTTCTTTATAAGGAAGAAATGATATGCCCAGATGCTGGCCAGGGCAGGGTCCCTTCTCTATCAGGATCTCAGAAGGGTGGAGAACAGAATGTCCGCTAAGCAGACATTGTCACACGCTGTCCCTACAACATCTGATCTGAGATATGTGCTGGACAAAAGATTGAGGGGCATGGGTGGGGAGCAGCTCCCTGCTCTGTCCGAATAATAAACACAATATTTGAGGGGAATGTGCCACAGGATGAAGAAATTTAATAAAGGCCAGATCCAGACATAAACAAACTGTGTGGCTTGCAACAGACAGTGAATTTAGTTCTCCTTTCCGAGAGTCCTTGATATAGTTTAGGAGCCTCTTCTTGCCAATAAGCAGTGATGTTCCCTGCCAGACTGGCTGGCTGAGTAAATTCTGATCGTTTGCTCATAACACAGCTATCTACTGAGTACTTCTCATCACAGGCAATGGAGGGAGACATGGGCTTTCTGGTCTCACTCTAAGAAAGGAGAGGAAGTTGCTTTGTAAAAATCTTTGTTTTGAACATCATTTGTGGGAAAGGGTGTCTGCCTCTCTTGACTGCATATGGAGAAAATAATCTCATGCAGAGAAGCTTGGTTCTGGCGTTTGCCAAGCTCCTCATCCATCTGGGGGCAAGCCCAAGACTGGGAGCCACAGAGCAGTAGAACATGTTGCTATGGTAACTTGGCACCACACACCTTTGCTCCTTTATATCAGCCTCCTTCCCAGTCCCCCAACCCCAAACCTGCACATTACCTTTATAAGCAGCATACCTTTTCAGAATATGAAAAGCTTTTCTTAATTTCCACACCGCCAGTTATAAAGACATTTTCCAAGGCACTTGGACAAAGGGACAGCGCTTCCTTTTGAAGGCTGAGGCTCCGCTGATTTTGCTTCCTGACACACAACTGTGACTGAGACCCACGTTAGCTTATCTTCTTTTTTTTTTTTCTTTTTTTTTTTATTTCTTTTTTTTTTTTTGAACATGAAATGCTTTTTTTTATAGCATGTTTTACAAGGGGAGGGGGTAAGAGGGTCCAGGTGGTGGAAAAGTACAAAATCTTCTTGGCCTGTGCCTTGAAACATGTCATGGTCTATATGGTACACTGCCTTGAATTATGATCTACCTGCAGTTCTTCAGAAGATATGGTACACTGCTTGAGTTATGGTCTCCCTGCTATTCTTAAGAAGACATGGTACTCTGATTTGAGTCTATCTGCAGTTGCTAAGCAGGATCTTGCAGTTGCCAAGCTTCAGAGGACATTGTGCAGGTGGGGAAAGGTAGGGGGTAAGGGTAAGGGCGAGGGTCCTGGCTTCTGGCATCTCCCCCTTCTCTGTTTAGTTAGAGAAGGCGTCTTATGTTCAATCCCAACTATGTGAATTTTGAATTTGGATGTCTAATTATGGGGAGTCTTAGACAAGTTCACAACCCCAAAACACTGATGTGAGACGAGTCACATCGATGGTCGAAGGCTTTAGGCTGTCGACGATGGGCAACGTCAAGGGACTCTGATGTGGGTGAAAGGAGGGTGAGAGCCCTGTCTTAGGCCATGTAGGCTGCACCCACTCCCAGCACCACGCACTCCTTTTCGGCTGCATTGGGTGGGCCCCTGGGAAGTGGACCTATAGAAGACTTTATTTTCAAATCTCTTTCGTACATTAGTGGACTTTATCACCATGCTGTTTAACCTCAGTTTTAAACAACCCCAAAAGACAAGAAAATGAGCCCATTAAACATTCTATGCCTAGAAGCATCCATGTGAGGTAGAGCTAATTTTCCTGCTTTGTGGATGAGAAAATAAAGTTAGTCAGTGAGCAGTAGCATGAGGGATGGTGAATGGGTAAGATGGGTCAGCAGATAAAGGTACTTGCTGCTAGGACTAATGACCTGAGCTCCATGCTTGGGACCTGCATCATGAACTTCTGAACTTTGTTCTCTGACCTCAACAAGCATGTTATGGCATGAATGCACCTATGCACACATGCACACTCGTGCACACAAATAAATATAGAAATATTTCTTTTGAAAAAGTTGAGGAATGGAACCAGGTCTCTGGACTCCAAGCTTTATGTGTTGTTCTTATATCTCAACTGATCTTCAGCCTTCATTGTTTCACAAAAAATACAGATGCATTCGAAGCCACAGCCACATTGTACTTTGCTTGCTTCTTTCTCTCTCTCTCTCTCTCTCTCTCTCTCTCTCTCTCTCTCTCTCTCTTTCTCTCTTTCTTTCTTCCTTTCTTTCTTCCTTTCTTTCTTTCTTTTTGGTTTTCGAGACAGGGTTCCTCTGTGTAGCCCTGGCTGTCCTGGAACTTGCTTTGTAGACTAGGCTAGCCTCAAACACACAGAAATCTGCCTGCCCCTGCCTCCTGTATGCTTTGGTTTCTTAAAAGCAGCTTTATCAGCCAGGCTTGGTGCCACAGAGCCCATCACCAAGAAGGAAGAAGGAGTCTACTCATTGTGCCAGGCACTGCTGGTACATGTTTATAATCCCAGCACTAGTGAGGCTGAGGCAGGAGGATCACCAAAAGTTCATATGTCAGCCTAAATGACATAGTGAGTTTGAGGCAAGCCTGAGCAACTTAGCAAGCCTCTGTCTCAAAAAAAAAAAAAAAGTACCCACTGGTTACAAATGTACAAGGCAAGATTTTTAAAGTTTGTAAGTTGAGGGGTAACTCACATGCTCTGCAGTCTTGCCCACTCAAAGCTTGTCCTCCAATCATTTCCAATATCTCAGCAGAGTTGTGCAACTATCAGCACAAAAAGAAGACAAAGATCTTTTTGCTGTTACTCCCAGTCAATTATCCCATACTCACTTCTATGCCCAACCATAAGCCACCACTAATACACTTTTTATCTCTATAAATTTTCCTCATTCTAGGCTCTTAATATTAATGGGTATATACCTACATACACATTATATGTATATGTACATGTACACATATATGTATTAATATATTCATTAATAGATATGTATAAATATATTCATATACATATATATTGTGTGTATGTTTCCTCATGACTGCCTTTCACTAAGCAAAATGATGATTTCAAAGTTCATTCATGTTTGGATGTGATAGTATGGCCATGTATTACATTTCTTCATTCACTCATTGGTTAGTGGACATTTGAGTTGTTACCTTTTATTGTTATTAGAAATGTTGCTATGAGTGTTTATATATTGGTTTTTGTGAGGAGTTGTGGCTTTCAACTTGGGTCTAGGAATGGTATAACTGAACCAAATGCCACATTGTTTCCCAAGTTGATTTCACCATTTAATATCTAAGAAAGCATACAAATTCCAGTTTCTGCACACTGTTGCCAGTATTTATGTGATTCAATTCTTTTTTCTTTTTTGGCTTCATTTTACTTCACAGTTGTATTTCTATGTCCACATGGTTATCGTTTCTTTGATGGTTACAAAGTGTTCTGAGTCAGTTAGTCTGCTGTTGTTTAATCGTAGCTTTAAAGCTGGGGCTTTGGATCTTGCCCAGTTCCAAACTGTTATAAACCATAGGACCTGAATTATTACCATTTACTACTTTTCACCTCAGCCTCTTTCCTTGATGTAGGTTCCAAAGCAAACAATGGATACACACAGGTTTGATATTGCTTCTCTGATTTCTCTGCACAAAAGTTGTCTGTACTTAAGATGCCACCAGTAGAGTTGGTGCCTGCCTCCATCCCCAGAGCCTCTGTTAACAAAAGGTTTTGCATCCTTATTGTGAGCACTAATAATACAAGTGTATTGTATAAATGAGCCATAGGTTCCTTTGATTTGTGTTTCTTTAGCTGTTGGAAACTTACAACATTTTAACGGCCATCAGATAACCCAGATGAGTCACTTAGACAAAGAAGCCAGGCAGTGCAGGAAGGTCCAGAGATCAGAACAAAAAAACAGGTAAAAAAGTTGAATGAAATTCCCCGAGTGTGTGTGAACGGGTCAGTTCTAGTGGATGGCTAGCTGTGGGATGAAGGGGTTGCTGGGAGAGATGCTGAGCTGTCTAGAGATACATTCTTCTCTGATATCGGCTTCATTCGGCACCTCCCTTCCTAGCTCTGCTTCTCCCTCTCTGACCATTCCTTCTCATTTCCCCATCACTTCCCTCTTTGACACTGGTATTCTCTAGAATTCTACTCCTGAATTCTTAAACTTTCAACATCCTGGGTGATCTCCGTCTCCTAGTACTGATACTAGGGAAACTCTAGAAGCTCTCATATAATTATGTCAAGCTCAGACTTTTTTCCCTGAGTCCCAGTTCCAACTATCTAATTTACTGAACATCTCCACAAGAATCCTCTGGGCATTTCAAGTCCAATGTTTCCCCTTAGACCTCCCCCTTTTTTTTCCCCATATGCTCTGTCTTCATGATGATAGCAACTCAGGCCCCATCTCCTCAAGCCAGGAAATCATTCCAAACTCTCCCTTATACCAAATATCCCTAACTGTACATGGTTTCCTCCCCAAAACCTACTATACTATTTTGACTTTTGTTTTCATTGACTGTAGCATGCATTAGAGTTGTATTGGTGGAAGGTGTCACTTTAGGGAGGAAAATAAATAAAAATGAAGAAAAAGAAAACAAAATAAAAATGAACTGAGTGAATATGTACGTAGAAGGAAAGTATGCTCACTGTGGAAGGGCAGCCTTCTTGGCAATTGTACAGGCTTTGGCAGTAATGGGGTTTTCCAGGGTCTTTCTCTAAAGCAATGGTTCTCAGCCTTCCTAATGCTGTGACTCTTTAATGTAGTTCCTCATGGTGTGGTGACTCCCAACCATAACATTATTTATATTACTACTTCATAACTGTAATTTTGCTAGTGTTATACAATGTAATCTAACTGTGTTTTCTGATGGTCTTAGGCCACCCCTGTGAAAGGGTCATTTGCCCCACAAAGTGGTCATGATCTACAGTTTGAGAACCATTGCTCTAAAGTGTCTACGTCAAATATGACTTGTTTCTAAGAATGTTAAACCTCATGGTTCAAAATTTCTGGGAGAGCCTGAAGAGTAGCACAGGTTAAGAAAGTGTGGGGGGTTGGGTGAGCTACTGATGCAAGAATAGCTGCGGTGAATGGTCCTTGCATAATAGAGACTTTTATCAAAAGGAAAGGGTTGGTATGAGATGGTTAATCTTTCTAGATGCATTTGCCACATTGCTGTAACCTCTGGCCCAGCCTTTCTGCTTCTAGTCTTATCTTCCACCAACCCATTGCGATGGCTAAAGTTCTAAGTTTAATTGCTATGCTTAAGAGAGATATAAAACGAACAAACAAAAAAATGCCTCTAACCCACTGGTTCTCAACCTGCGGTCACAACCCCTTTGTAGGGCAAATGACCCTTTCACAAAAGTCCCCTAAGACCTACATATCAGATATTTGCAATACAATTCATAACAGTAACAAAATTATAGTTATGAAGTAGCAATGAGCTGGGTGTTAATCCCAGCACTTGGGAGGCAGAGGCAGGTGGATTCTGAGTTCGAGTCCAGCCTGGTCTACAGAGTGAGTTCCAGGACAGCCAGGACTACACAGAGAACCCCTGTCTCAAAAAAAACCAAAAAAAAAAAAAGAAAAGAAAAAAGAAAGTAAGAAAGAAAAGAAGTAGCAATGAAAATAATGTTATGGTTGGGGGTCACCACAACATGAGAATTGTATTAAAGGGTCACAGGAATAAAGAGGTTGAGAACCACTGCTCTAGCCTTTAAACCTCACTTGCACAAGGACTGACAACTTCCGGGAATACTGAGGGCTATTTTTCATGTACGATAACAAGCCACATGTTTTCGATTTTTGTAAACAAGCTTGACTGTCCCAACTGCACAAGAGGTACTTGATCAC